TCAGTCCGGCCCTCGGCTTGTAGCTAAATTTTTTATTTGGCCCTCCGTCCATTAGACTTTGACACCCCTGCTCTAGAGCCTGTCTTGTGTGGGATTTCTCCTTCTGCCTGGCTCCTGAGCTAGTGGGGACGCTGTCTGCTCTGTGATACAGAGTCCTGATGACTCCTAACTTGTGCTCCAAAGGGTGATGGGAGTCAAACTGCAAATACTGGTCTGTGTGGGTGGGTTTGCGGTACACCTCAGTTTGCAAATGTCCTCTATCAGAGACTGAGACCTCACAGTCCAAGAAAGCCAACCTGCCATTTTTTACATCTTCTCGTGTGAACTTGATGTATTTATCCACAGAGTTGATGTGGTCAGTAAAATGTTGGACTTACTGAGATTTAATTTTAACCCAGGTGTCGTCAACATACCTGAACCAATGACTTGGTGGTGTCCCTGAAAAGGACGTCAAGGCTCTATTGTCTACCTCCTCCATGTACAGGTTGGCAACAATAGGAGAAACTGGAGACCCCATAGCACACCCATGTTTCTGCCTATAATATTGCTCCCCATATGTGAAGTAGGTTGACTGCAGGCACAGTTTCAAGAGTTGACACAGTTGTTCTGTGGAAAGCGTGGTCCTGCTGCTCAGAGTGGTGTCTGATTTTAATCTTAAACTGACCACCTCTACTGCATCATCAACAGGAATGCACGTAAAGAGTGATGTGACATCAAAAGAGACCATTGTTTCATCAGTCTCCATGATGACATCCCTCACCTTGTCCACAAAGTCCATGGTGTTCTGTATGTGGTGTTCTGAGCTGCCAACTAAAGGGATGAGTACAGACGCCAGATATTTGGAAACATTGTAAGTGACAGAGTTAATCATACTAACAATTGGTCTTAAAGGTACACCTTGTTTGTGGATTTTAGGTAAACCATACAGACTAGGTGTGGCCTCCCCTGAGTACAGTCTGTGGTACAGAATACGGTCAATAGCTTTGTCCTGCTCCAAAATTTTCAGGCAATCTATCAACTTCTTCTTGTAACCACTTCCTGGATCTCTTTTCAGAGGTTCATAAGTGTTTAAGTCACTAAGGAGTGTCATAACTTTCTCATGATAGTCTTTCTGGTTCAAAATCACTGTGCACCTTCCTTTGTCTGCTGGGAGAATGATGATGTTTTTGTCCTTGCTAAGAGTGGTGAGTGCATCCCTCTCCTCTCTACTGATGTTGGAAAGAGACTGAGCTGAATACAGCTCCTCAGACTGAGGAAGTCTCTCGGATGAGAGACGAAACGTTTCTACATTTTTTTGTTGATTTGCTTTGTTTTGTTTTTTTGAATGTCTAGAGGACCAGATTTAACTTTTTTAGAAAGAACACTAACGTTCACATTTAACTGATTTTGATTAATCACATCAATGAACATATAAACATCAATATATCTTTACAGATGGTGGGGGATATTGTGTGTGTGTGTGTTCAAACAGTAAATATAACAATATTTTTATTGGGCAGGTTTTTGTGTGATGGGGCGGTTTTTAACAGATTTTTGGGCTGGAAACCCTCGACCCAATCTGGCAACACTGAGCGTGAGTTGAACAGAGCGAGGCGGAAGCAGTGCAAAGGCGTTGTTTTCAAAGGAAATTAAGTAAATTTTACAAATGACCGATGCAGCGAAAACGGTTTGACCCAAGTCCTTAAAAGTGTGGGAGCAGTTGACACTTCACAAAGATAAAAACTGCATAAAATGCAGCTTGGAAAAAGTGACAACATGACACGGGAGAACCACGGTAAAACGTAACCATGTCCGAGTCGAAACTAACCACCGCGGTGTGGATGAAGGATCAGCAGCAGTAAATATCTACAATATACCACATTTGTTCTGTTTCCAAGTGACAAAACATAACGTCAGTCTCTCTGGTAGCGGAGGCTGCTGGTTGTTATCCGACTCATGACCTTAATAGAGAACGTGTGTTTTTGTTTAATTTAATTGGTATAAGCTGTGTTTAAATGTGATTTATAAATAAATTAACACAAAGATTCTAATAATTTAATGATTAAGCTTCAACTTTTAATTTGCTGGCAAAGTCTGAAGACACTGCAGGTATGGCAGGATGAATTGCATTTAAACAGGAATTAAAGTAATTTATTTCAGCTACTCAATTGTGTGTAATTAAGTATTTTATATGTGTGTGTGTGTTTGTGTGTATGTTTAATTGCTCTTTGAGCTACTTTAGTCTGAACCTAACACTGTAAATGAAACAAGGCATTTCTTGAGTTGCTGTAAATTATGTTATAATACATATTTACTCTCATTCCAGAAAACAACAAAAAACAATGACAGCCTTCATGATGGAAAGACATCATGGACACCACAGCAGCAGCTGTCTTTACTGAAAGATCCTTACATGATCGTCACTGACATGAGACCTCTGTCGATGGTTGAAGACGAAAGCTTCACTGCAATAATCCACACTTTTAATCCAGGTTACACTCTTACTTCAAGGGCATATTTTACAAAGTAGCTACATATTGTGCAGGTATAAAGCATACATTTGTATATATTTTTGTGTACATTTATTTTTTATTGATGCTATTTGACTACTTGTTTTTTTATTATTCAATATTTTGCTAACAGAATAAAGTAGCAATCTGTTTTTTGTGCGATTTGCTATGTCAGTCAAATTTTGGAATAAAGAGGAGCTAATTCCATCCATTTTCCTCTGCTTATCCGGGGTCGGGTCGCAGGGGTAGCAGCCTAAATAGGGAGGCCCAGACTTCCCTCTCCCCAGCCACTTGGTCCAGCTCTTCCGGGGGAATCCCGAGGCGTTCCCATGCCAGCCGAGAAACATAGTCCCTCCAGCGTGTCCTGGGTCTTCCTCTGGGCCTCCTTCCGGTGGGACACCTCACCAGGGAGGTGTCCAGGAGACATCCTAACCAGATGCCCGAGCCACCTCAACTGGCTCCTCTCGACGTGGAGAAGCAGCGGTTCTACTCTGAGTCCCTCCCGGATGATCGAGCTTCTCACCCTGTCTCTAAGGGAGAGCGCAGACACCCTGCGGAGAAAACTCATTTCGGCCGCTTGTATCCGAGATCTCATTCTTTCGGTCACAACCCAAAGCTTGTGACCATAGATGAGGGTAGGAATGTAGATAGATTTGTAAATTGAGAGCTTCACCTTTTGACTCAGCTCTCTCTTCACCATGACAGACCTGTACAGCGCCTGCTTCACTGCAGATGCTGCACCTATCCGCCTATTGATCTCACGCTCCATTTTTCCCTCATTCGTGAACACGACCCCGAAATACTTGAACTCCTCCACTTGGGGCTGGACCTCCTCCCTGACCCGGAGAGGGCACTCTACCCTTTTCCGGCTCAAGACCATGGCCTCGGATTTCAAGAGGTGCTAATTAAAACTTTTTTTTTTTTTTATGGCTGATTCATGGATTAATCGAGGGAAAAATAATAATAAAGCTAGGGTGGCCATTTTGGACTATTGATTTGGATTCAGTATGTGGTGGGGAATGTTCTAAGCTGTCATTTCAGTTGTACAGTGTGAATATATTGAATAAATGTTGTTCGAAAAACATTCAGTTTGAAATGGTCATAACTAAAATGATGTTCAAAAAAGTTCAATCTGGTCCTCTGGACATTCAAAAAAACAAAACAGAGCAAATCAACAAAAAAATGTAGAAACGTTTCGTCTCTCATCCGAGAGACTTCTTCAGTCTGAGGAGCTGTATTCAGCTCAGTCTCTTAAATAGCACCGTCTCAGAGTGGATCAACCAGTTTGCTGCTGACAACCAAAACCAGCTGATCACATGCTCAAGAAGGACCATCAGCCTAACAATGGATCATTAGCACACTGATGGCTGTTTACTATTCACAGGAGGCTGAGTGATACTAGCAATCACAGCATTGTAAGAGGGGGACAGTTGAACCCGGAGGCCTCCACCCCTGTTTAATGATGGACGGTTTCTTTTCACAAAGATGGCCTCCTTTAATCCTCTCTCAAACCATTGTTCCTCTCTGTCCAGGATGTGAACATCTTCATCCCTGAAAGAGTGACCGCTGGCCTGGAGATGAGTGTAGACCGCAGAATCCTGGCCTGATGATGTTGATCTTCTGTGCTGGTCCATCCTTTTGGCCAGTGGCTCTTTAGTTTCCCTGATGTAAGACTGATCACAACCCTCCTGACACTGAACAGCATACACAACATTGCTCTGTTTGTGCCGGGGGACTGGATCTTTGGGATGAACCAGTCTTTGTCGTAATGTATTTTGGGGTTTAAAAGCCACTGGGACGATGTGTTTAGAAAATAAACGTCTCAGTTTCTCTGATACTCCCTCAACATACGAAATGACCACTGGTCTGGGTCTGGGTTCCTCCTTTTCACCTGATGGCTGACTGGAGTCCTGTTTGGGTTTCTTCTCTGCTTTCAGGAAGAAAAACTTCCTGCTTTCAATTGTCCCCCTCTTACAATGCTGTGATTGCTAGTATCACTCAACCCTCTGTGAACAGTAAACAGCCATCAATGTGCTAATGATCCATTGTTAGGCTGATGGTCCTTCTTGAGCATGTGAGCAGCTGGTTTTGGTTGTCAGCAGCAAACTGGTTGATCCACTCTGAGAAGGTGCTATTTAAGAGACTGAGCTGAACACAGCACCTCAGACTGAGGAAGTCTCTCGGATGAGAGACGAAACGTTTCTATATTTTTTTGCTTTGTTTTTTTTTTGTTTGTTTTTTTGAATGTCCAGAGGACCAGATTGAACTTTTTTGGATTTTTCTACCTGGATTATTGAGCATGTATCAGGATAAAATTATGTTGTTGCTCTCTACAGTCGTACTACTGGCGTCGTGTTCAACAATAAATGTCCAATAAATAAATGTTTAATGTCCTCGCTAAACCTGAGGATGTCCAAATGTCCCCATTTAAATGTCCTCACTAAACCTGAGGATGTCCAAATGTCCCTTTTAAACAACATTTATGCAGGCGTATGGAAGCACCACTGTCACCTTGTTGTTGAGGAGCTCAATCTTGTCCTGGTCTAGGCGATGTTGGCGGTTGTAGGCCTCCATTGTGGTGCAGCAGCGCTCCATCTCTCGGTTGAGGACGCAGACAATGTTTTCAAATGTGCTCACTTTGAGTTCCAGTTCCTGGCAGCGCCGGCTCAGCTCAGCTACCTTAGTCTTTTCACTTTGGAGCTGCAGCTCCAGGGCAGCACCCATGGCACTAGGCAGGGGAGTGAAGGAGGTGGCCAGGGCCGGGGTGCAGGCAGCCTGTACAGGACCTGCACCACCTCCACCCAGCTGGCTCATCTTCAGCTCCAGATCTCTGAGGGACTGATGTAGCTCCTGCAGTTTCTGGCTGGCCACCTCAAGGCTCTGGGGCTGCAGGCTCTCCAGACTCACCTTGATGCCCATGATGAAGTGCAGAAGCAGGTTCAGATGCTCATAAGAACACTGCCGCTCGTGGTCATGGATCTTTTCTTTCTCCACCTTTCAGTGAAAGGAAAATACAAACAGTTAAGAGATAAGGAAGGCAAACAGTTCTGACCCTTAATAATTCAGTGATGTGCAGTGTGCAAAAACAAAAAAAAAACTACAGCAGCAGAACACCGTAACACAAAATTGGAGAAATACAAGTACATATCCTCACCGCTAGGGCTGAGTACCTTTCTAAAAAAAAATTGGTATCAGTACCGGTGTCGGTACCTTCACTTCGGTGTCGGTTCCTGGACGGTCCTTTTTTCGGTACCAATTTTGTAATTACTATTAATTCTAACAAGAATAAAATTACGTTACACATTACAGTACAAATTGTGCGTTTTATTTTTTAACTTTGGTATTTTTCTATTCCAAGCAGTTTTCTTACATAAAAACAAACAAATAACTTCCAGGTCAAAAGACCAGTTACAAACCAGTGACACTTCAGTGTCTAATGTTCACTACTACACACTGAGGACCTTTTTACTTCACAGTTTTTCTTCAGAAAAATCAACATGTCTGTTTTCTCTGGACACAAACAAGCCCACTCCTGGCTGATGGTGTCTACAGCAGTAGAAAATGTTCCCTCTCAGGCTGTAGATGATGCTTGTTGCACACACAGATACCTGGTTGTCAGTTTGAGAGCATCTGACATATTGTCCCTCACATTCCACCAGCTGGATTCACTGAGGTAGGGATGATGCAGACATCTGCACCTCTGTGTCTCTGCCTGAATCTTCTCTGTGATTCTCTGGGGTTTAGGGCTCTGATCATCTCCCTAATTGACATGAGAACAAAACATCAACAACATGGTTGTGTTATTATTGCTCAAAAAACATTATCTAGGCTACATTAGGTGAACTGTTTAAGCAGCTGACTGGATGGATGAGCAGTTTTACAAGCTAAGATTTATGTTACTGTCAATCTTTAGTTAGCTTCTGAGTTTAGCTAGCTACGAAGATAAAATAAATTTACACACTAATATCTTAAAGTTAGCGTTACATGGATCATTTTTTATTTCACTGCGATATACGTGTTAAGCTGCAGTTACGCTAACAAACGTAAACTCACCAGTTGAAGCACACAGAGACGTCCTCTGAGTTCTTTGATGAAGAGTCCGGTCGTGGAGATAATGAATCAGGACGTTTAGGCTCTCACAGGCTGACTTTAATGCTGAGAGGAGGAGGGGGAGGCTGTTGAATTCCTCTCTCCTCGCAGAAAAACACAGAGCAACTTTCTGCAGTGCGTGTTGTCGAAGCCATTCGACAACACGCACTGCACACGTGAACCCGTCTGTGGGCGTCACCAGCACCATAGACATACATTACAGTATACATAGATTAGGTATGGCAGCTCTATACAGCTCTGGGTGTAATCTGGGTGTAGTCTGTTTGTCATATGTCTGGTGTTTTACCAGCCTGAATGCTGAAACCACGTGACACGTTACAGCCAATACCGAAACTTGACACAGAAAGAAGAGTGACATTTCAATACATACACCGACCGGTGCAGTTCAGTCGGTGCCATAAAAGCACTTCGGTTCGGTACTCAGCCCTACTCACCGCACTTAAAAAATCCAACTTCTATAACCAAAATTATCTTATAACCATAGAATACATTAATTACCATGCTATTGTGGACAGTGTATAATAAACTGAACAGAAAATGATGACGTACATTCTTCTTTTGGGTTTTCCCTCTTCAGGGGTCTCCACAGCGAGTCTTCCTCCTCCATCTCACTCTGTCCTCTGCATCCTCTGTCCTCACTCCAACTACCTCCACGTCCTCCCTAACTGGATCCATATACAGTATCTCCTCTTTGTCTTTTTCCTGGCAGCTGCATTTCTAACATCCTTCTACCAATAAACCCACTGCCCCTCCTCTAGACATGTCCAAACCACTGTCCCTCCTCTAGACATGTCCAAACCACTGTACCGCCTCTGGACATGTCCAAACTATCTCAATGTGTCCTCTCTAACTTTATTTCCCAGTTGTTCAACTTGTGCTGTACCTCTGATAATCTCATTTCTAATCTTCTCCATCCTTGTCTCTCCCAAGGAGAACCTCAACATCTTAATTTCTGCCACTTCCAGTTCTGTCTCCTGTCTTTTTGTCCATGTTTCTGTCTCCAGACCATATAACATAGCTGGTCTCACCACTGTCTTGTAAACTTTTCCTTTGACATTTGCTGACACCCTTTTGTCACAAATCACTCTGAAACTTTTCTCCATCTACTCCATCCTGCCTGGACTCTATTCGTCACCTCTTTACCGAACTCCCCATTTTCCTGGACAGTGGACCCCAAGTCCTTGAAGTCCTGCACCTTTGTGACCTGGTGTTGGTCCACTGTGTTTTCTGAGGTCCAAGGTCAACGCAGCCATCTACCAGGAAGTTTTAGAGCACTTCATGCTTCCAGCTGCTGACAAACTTTATGGAGATGCAGATTTCATTTTCCAACAGGACTTGGCACCTGCACACAGTGCCAAAGCTACCAGTACCTGGTTTAAGGACCATGGTATCCTTGTTCTTAACTGGCCAGCAAACTCGTCTGACGTTAACCCCATAGAAAATCTATGAAGTATTGTGAAGAGGAAGATGTGATACACAAGACCCAACAATTCAGAAGAGCTGAAGGCCACGATCAGAGCAACCTGGGCTCTCAACACCTAAGCAGTTCCACAGACTGATCGTCTCTATGCCATGCCGCATTGCTGCATTAATCCAGGAAAAAGGAGCAACAACTAAGTATTGAGTGATGTACATGTTCATACTTTTCAGTTGACCAACATTTCTAAAAATCCTTTTTTTATTGGTCTTAAGTAATATTCTAATCTTCTGAAATAATGAATTTGGGGTTTTCATTAGTTGTCAGTAATAATCATCATCATTAAAAGAAATAAAAATTTGAAAAATAACAGTCTGTGTGTAATGAATAAATATAATATGTAAGTTTCACTTTTTGAATGGAATTTTTTTTAATGGAATTACTGAACTCAATCAACTTTTTTACGATA